CAGCAGGCGTGGCACAACAGCGGACATTCGGAGATGTGTCAGGCCCCCGCCTTCCCCCCGCCCCGGGGGCTCAGACCTGGCTTGTCGGCGCCATCCCAGGAACCACATCCAGTGCCCAGCCAAAGGAAATCCTGGGAGCTCAGCGGCTGCAGAGCGGGAGCCAGGTCCCGGCTGTCAGCGAAGTTGTGGATGGAGGCAGAAGCTGCCCCAGGCCAGCACCCAGCACTGGGAGAGGAACTCATTCCCGTGCAAAGCCAGACTGGAAATGAGACCTCGCTGCACATGCCAGCAGCTGTGATACCCACATGAGGCAAGTACAGATCAATACACTGAGTGCAAGGCAGAGGGGGAATCAGACTAGCTGTGTTTTCTCTCTTTCGCCCTTTTCCCTCCCATTATACTGAAGTACCGCACATTCAAAAGAGCTTTCCAAAGTCAGGAGGGGTTTAGGAAGAGTTGCTTGAAATATCTGCTCAAAACTTAGCCCAAAGCGGTCCTTTTATAATGGAGAAGTCACTAATTCAACGACTCATTTATCGTACCCATACAGCATCAAATGCATGAAATGCCTAAAAGGGGTTTCCAATGCCATTCCATGCTAAAAAAGGAAATGACCACGAGTTCCTCTAATGGAAGCTATTTGCTGCAATAACATGTCGTGCAGAGCTATAGTGCTGTAAGTGTTTTGGGCAAATAAGAAAGCCAAGATGGAAAAAAATGCAGCAACATTTTACCGGCAGCATGTTTTAAATTGTCTCTCACTATGCTCTGATCTAATCAATATGAAAGAAAAGTAATTTTAAAATGACTAGTCTCACTTTTAAGCTGACTCCAGGTCTAGGATACATTAATTAAACTAAATCAAACAACTTCCATACTGTGCCAAGGGATGGAATTGCTTTACAATCCTCTTTTGTGCGAAATGCTGTTGCAAAGGAACAGAGCAGGGCGTCCGAGACCGAGCAGTTCCCAGGTTATGCTATAAAACCAGAGGACAGGACAGTTTAAGAAATGTAATAGAACTTGAAAAAAACAATTTTATATTAAACACTCTGGTCCCATAGGAGATGCAGGTAAGTGCTAGAACAGATCTATTTGAATTAGCTAATTCAATGAGCTACTGTGATTATCAAATCCTAACCAACAGTAAATGCTCTATCACACTTGTAAAAAGATGTGTTTCTAACACATAGTCAAGATATATCTAGTTTCAGTTATCCATATACATATATATATAAATCTAACACCATAGATATTAATATTTAACATTTAAAACCTATTTCAGAGCTAGCATTTCTTAACTGTGAATTATTAATGGCAGTGTGTTGTGGGACACTGCCATGCAGAAAATAAGATACAGTGAGTTTTTTTCCTCAGCTATTCACAAAACCACACAGTTTTCTTTTCCAACTGAATGCCCAGGAAGAGGTGCATGCAGATGTTTCTCACCAGGGGTAATTTGGTTAAATATGCTATTTTTATTCTGTTCCCAGATTTTTCTTCCTTGTTGAATGCTTATACTGGCAGCCAGACAAATGAGAGAAGAACTCGATACTTGTCAGGAACATCACGTCGTATTACCTGATTTCCAAAAGATGACACCAGATAAGTAAAAGCCATTCCTCCTTCTTTATAAATAATGCCAATAAGAGGGGAGAGCAGGAGTGTGTTGGTGCTGAAAGACACTTAGCAATCAGCACTACCACCTTTTTTTTCGGGGGGGGTGGGCTTTTTTTGCTTTGGGTTTTTTTTGGTTTTTTTTTTAAAGCTGAAAACCAGAAGCTATCAGAGACCATGCAAACCTTCAGAGCATCAACAACTGCATTAACTAGCACAAAAAACAATAAGAACACAATACCCACTTACATCAACTACAAAGATCTTCTGGGAGTCATCCAGAAACTGGACTTTCAGGTGCAGCATCCTCGAGCATGTGGCTGAGCGTGCGGCGGGCATGGGAGTCCTAGCGATGTGAGCGGTGTGCCGGGAAGGGAGCCCTGACTCCTCTTGCACACATAATTTCCCTCTCAGCTGGATGGAGAAGGCTGCAGTCACAGATGTGGAGCGGAGGCTGGAGCAAAGGAACTGAATGCCTGAAAACAAGTTAAAAAAAAAATACTGATACCTCCCCTGGTTTAAATATCACCACTGTGTTAAGGGATATTTTACCCCTGTGAATTATGGGTGTATTAATAGGGGAAAGGCTGTGCAGCAGCTCTGCGAGAGTGGCACTAATGGGACTGAGATTAAACACTGAGCTTTTACAGCTGGTGGTGAGCAATGCGAGGGCAAAGTGAGCCCACGCTTCATACCGCGAGCTCAGGGAAGAAGAGCCGAGCAGCTCTCCTGCCAAAGTCACCGAGCAGCGAGCGTCATCTTTTCTCTGGTCCGATTAAGGTGCACCAAAAGAGCAGCGGGCCAGGAGCTGTGCGCTCGGCCAGAGCGGCGAGTCTCACTTGCTCCATGAAGTAGGCAGGTAGCACCTTAGCTGCTGAGCAGATGTGGGCAGACCTGGCCAATGGGCTGATGTACTTTGCCAGAGACTGGGAAATGTTTCCAACCGAACTTGAAACCAGGTGGGAGTCCTTCCCAGGGAGGCAGAGGAGGACCTGCTGCTAATTCGCAGCTCGCGCACTGGTTTGGCAGCTTAGTGAAGTCTCACAAGCCTTTGAGACAACCTGGTTCCCCTTTCACACCTGAAAAGCCCACATCCCCACACACTAACTCATCCTCCGAGTGCCAGAGCCAGCTGCCCACCCCCAAAACCCGCCGGGGCTCAGCCCAGGCTGCCAGGTGCAGCCTCCCCACGGTGTGGTGGGCGCCTGGGGCTTGCACTTGAGCTGTTTCTCTGCCCCAGGTACTGCAGGGCTGTGATGAATTGGCTGACCTCTCTGGCTGCTCTCGTCTGGCAGAGCTCCCCCTCACTGAGCATTTGGATGAAGGCAGCGTTTGGGCAGGAGCCCCCGCCTGCAGAAATAAATGCACTGAGTAGTGCCAAAAGGCAGGTGCTGGACTGTCATAGGGGATTGTTATTGCTGCTGCTGCTGCTGGAAAAAGCCACAACCATGCACGATCCTGTGGGATCCAGAGCGATGGAAACACATCCCAGCAAACCAAGAAAGCGACATTAAGTGCTGCGGAGATTTCGCTTGTTGCTTCCTTCCCGGTTTCCAATGAAACATCCACTGTAAGTCACTCCAAGCCATTTGCTGTGGTCCCTCTTATGCTTCCTAAATATTCCTGGGGATGTCAGGACAGAGCCCGTCAGGGTACACACTTAGCTTGCTGTCTGGGCTGCAGAGAGGAAAAACGTAGAGCTTCTTAGCTATAGAAAAACTTATTAGTCTTCTACTGACCGGGACAAAAAAGAAGCATAAAAGTTAAAGCAAATCTGCTTTTCTGTGTGAATCTGCTCCACAAAGCAGCTGAGCTCATCTTCTGCCCGTGGCCGGGAGGAGGATGGCTGTACTGAGCACGCAGACACTGCGTCCAAGGACCAAATTTCCAGTGCTGCCCTTGGCCCGGGGTCTGAGCTCTTTGTGTCACGGGAGAAGGGCGGTGTCACATACAAACCATCGGGGGGGCTCAGTGCACTTTCTCTCTGCAGTTTTAAATGTTTGTTCCATCAAATATTGATGGGCATCAAGGTGAAGAGCAGCACTCCTGTGAGCAGCTCACACATCGCAGGCATGGCTCCGCCACAGCAGCACTGGGAGCACGGCAGGAGCACTGGACCGGCAGGAAGGATGCACGGGGGTGCGATGGAGGACCCCCCCGAACCCCAGAAGAATCCAAGCCTCCCTGCTACAGGCTTTCCTGACATGCTGGGGGCACTGTTCCTGGGCTCTGTGGATGCTATTAGAAGCTTGAGCACTGGCCAGCCAGGTTGTGGGTGGAAGAAAAGGGTTTTTTTCACTACCGTGGCATGAAGGAAGGGGACTGTGTTGGGTTTACCGGGGCCTCTAGCCACCCTATAGAGGCATTCATGCAGACAGTGTGGAGCCAGCAGAGGCAAACAAGGTAAATGAGGACTTTTTTGGAGTAGGAGAATAAGAGACAGCCAGAAGAGATGTGACCTGGGACACGGGGGTTGTTGCTGAGAGCAGAGGAGATCCACCACCTCAGCAGACAAGAGACCCATTTTACCCCCACCCAGGTCCTTCCTTCTTCTGGAGGTGACTTTGGGGCCGGCCGGAGCAGGACACAGGGAGCACCAGTGGCCCAGGAGGAGCAATCCTGGCTCCCAGCCTGAGCCAGTACTGACCTCCAGCCAGGCACGTATGTCCTCCTTATCCACAGGGGCAGGGAATAATTTGAAAAAGGTGCAGAAAAGCACAGGAAAGGTGAAGGGTGAGTGCAGCCGCACCGGCAGGCAGAGAGGGGACCTCGAGCAGCAGTACTGGAGCACAGCAGGGTCTGAGCAGCAGCATGTCAGAGCGAGTACTGCCTCAGGGCTGTTTACTCAGCCAGCTCAGCCCTTGATTTTTAATACTCTGGACCCCGCTACCACCATCTTGCATTGCATCAGCTCTCCCAGGGAGGACTTCAGTCCACCAAGTGCATCCGACCCCATATTAGGCTGGATGGTGTTGCCTTGAATCAGGGTCTTCTTCAGCCTCTCAAACACCCTGGTGTTTGCCAGGATGGATCGAGCAGACCAAGAAACAAGAAGTCTCCTTCCTCCCAAACCCCGCTGCCCCTTTTCCAAGGTGAATTTTCCCACCAGTCTTTACGGTTTGATTGTTTGTTCCCCTGTTGGCCCCAGAAGCAGGGGCAGCCCGCAGGACATCTGACGGAGAGCTGAGTCACTGTGGTTACACTCCACGGAGCCTCCTGAAACGGTGAGCCACCGGCACCAGGCAGCGAGCGAGTTCGGCAGTCTTCCTCCAAAAGTGCTTGCTTTGTGCCCTGGGGATGGGCAAGAAAATGCCCCAAACCTCCCCAGTCCCTCCCCAAGTCAGTCCTGAGAGAGGAGCAGGCTCTGAGAGAGCAAACTCTGCTCTCTCAAGATGCATAACATGCGTGGGTACCTGCGGCTGCGAGGGCAGGCTCCCGGCAGAGGCAAGGCAGAAGTGCCCGGCCACCAAGGGACCGCACGCTGCTCCCCCTGCATCGCTGTGGTCACGGCTCTAGCACTGCTGTACCATGTGCTTTGTCATGCTTATCTTCAAATTCGGTTCAGAGGAAAGGAGAAGAAGATGGCTAAAGTCATGGAATAGAGATCTGCCAGGGGATTTTAAACACCATAGTCCAAAGGGCAAGAACCCGTACCCAGCTCATTGCTGAGAAGGAGAAGCACTCATCCTGTTTTTCACACTCAAAGCATTTGCTGTTGGCGTCTGCCGGAGACAGGGACTCACCTAGGTGGACTTTGGTCTGTGGTGGCCTTTCATACCCTTACATTAGACCTCCTCTCCCTCAGATGGGAGAACATCCACATTCACTTCTCACCCAGCCACAGCCCTCCCAACTGCAGGGCCAGCAAGCAGCACGGCCGCTTGCCTGCCATCACTGGGAGCAGGCTCAGGCACAGCCAAAGTCCTTCTGAACAGCACTAGGCACACGAGAGGAATATCATCAGCTGGTTAATAAATCCAAGGCACAGCACCAATACTGCAAAACAGGGAAATTTCTTTCCAGAATAGGGTACCTACAACGTTCCTGCTGCCACACCAAAAGGAACTGTTTCACTCTCAGCTGGGTCCTGGCTTAGCTACTAGTTGCTTTAATTTTTTTTATAAAATATCCCCCCAAAAAGGTATTTTCAAAAAACAAGGCCTGAAAGAACTGAGTTTGTTTGGCTTAAAAAGAGAAGAAAGAGGGAACAACAAAGGTCTGCTGATACATGCGGGACCATTCCAGGAGGACAGACCGGCTGTGCTCCCAAGCAATGTGGAAAACAAAGAAATTGCTGGAAATTGCAGGAAAGATCTGAGTTAGGTGCTAGGAAAGACCCTTAAACTGTGAAGCAGGAGAAATACTGGAACAGGCTGGAAAAGCCAGGGATGACTCAGACAGAAGTCTGTTAGGGCCGGTCCAGGCACACTTGGTCCTGCCTTTAACCCTTTAACAATGACTATCATTTTTCATTCACTTCACAAGTCGTATTATATTTTGAGCATATCTCAGCAGTTACAGTTGACTGGGCAAGTCCTGCCTTTCTAAAAACTCCTGCCCCAGAACTGTTCTATTTATTGAATATAATAAACAATGATACATTTGCATTTCCATCAAATTTTGCTGGCCAAACATCAGTCTGACATCTGTCATGGTTTAACCTCAGCTGGCAACTGAGCACCACACGGCCGCTCGCTCACTTCCCCATCCCACCCCCAGTGGGATGGGGGAGAGAATTGGAAGAGTTGAAGTGAGAAAAACTCATGGGTTGAGATAAAAACAGTTTAATAATTGAAATAAAATAATAACAACAATAATAATAATGTAATAATAATAATATACAAAGCAAGTGATGCACAATGCAGTTGCTCACCACCCGCCGACCGATGCCCAGCCAGTCCCCGAGCAGCGGCCCCCCCGGCCAGCTTTCCCCCAGTTTCTGTACTGAGCACGACGTCCCATGGTATGGAATGTCCCTCTGGCCAGTTTGGGGCAGCTGTCCTGGCTGTGCCCCCCCCAGTTACTTGTGCACCTCCAGCCTGCTCAGTCGGTAGAGCATGGGGAGCTGAAAGGTCCTTGACTAGTGTAAGCACTACTGAGCAACAACTAAAACATCGGTGTGTTATCAACATTGTTCTCACCCTAAATCCAAAACACAGCGCTGTACCAGCTACTGGGAAGGAAATTAACTCTATCCCAGCCAAAACCAGGACAACATCATTGTGCTGTAATTTATTACTCATAAGTAATTGCTGGGAAAATTGAAATGATTGCATTTTTAATTTTGTGGTTTAGGTGGGTTTTGC